CGCACCAGGCCTTTCCTGGGCGCCTCCCGTCGCAGCAGCTTGCGCGCAAACGCCTCTCGCAGAGGCAACACTTCCTCGCCGTCCTTGTAGAGCCCCGTGTCCACGTCGAGCAGGCCCTGCTGCACGGCCTCGGCAATGCTAACCCCAGTCTCCCTGTCTCTTACCTTCTCCCGCTCCTCCGGGGTCACCACGGCGCCCCGCTCCGCGTCCCACAGCTGTCTCTGGATGGCCTCGAGGAGCGTGATCTCCCTGCCGCTGCCCACGTCCACGATGCCGCACGGGCCCAGCAGACGCTCGGCCAGGGCCGGGTCCACCAGGCGCCGCCGCACGGCCTCGTCGATGTCGACGGACGCGCCGTCGGGCTGCGCAGCGATGCGCCCCGTCCGCACGTCCAGCACGCGGAGGCTGATGGCGTCGTGAACGTTGAGCAGCTCGCCGGTTGACGGGTTGACGATGCCGGGCGCCGCCAGGACGTCCTGGTACGACGCGTCGGTGCCGACGCCCTCTTCCGACCGGTGTACCCTCTTGAGGGAGCGGATCTCGGTGAACTGCATGCAGCTGCCCGGCCAGGCGTGCGCGCTGTCGCCGTTAGTGGCGGAGCCGCGGCCGTTGACGGGCACGGTCGGGGACGCCGCCTCCACGCCGTTGGTGTGGCGCTTGAGCGGCGACCCCTCCCGGCTCGACGTCGTCACCGTGACCGAGGCCACGGATTTGACGCGCCCGCCCGAGTCGAAGATCTGTGACGAGTCGGTCACGTCCCGACTCGGATACCTGGAGGAGAGAACAAGCGCGAGCATTAGCGTCAGCAGTCTCGCATACGGTGCTCGAGGAGCGAAAGTGAAAAACAACTCATCAGCCGATTCAGGTGGCCGGGGTCAAGGACGCGGTACTCAAACTCACTGTGGGTTAGTTGGCTCCTCCGTCTCCATCATGTTCAGTTCTGTTCGGAATGTTTTTAGTGGCCGGGTCTCCAATTGTGATATGGAAAGCTGCAATGAGAGAGCAGAAAGAAATGGGAATCAGAAACACGAGTTGACAATTCTGCCGCGCTGGCGGACACTATTGGGGCGGGTCGGTGGAGGCTTGGCCCGGCGCCAGCCCCGGCGCACAACGCGCGCTAGCCAGGCCGGTTGCCTAGCTCGCCTAG